CCATTTCCAAGGGCTTGAAATATTTTTTTTCCTTTTTATATTTTTTCTTGAGTTTCCCTGGGGAACTCTTCATCCTATCATCCCAGAAGAATCTCACTCCTTTACTTTGAAATCAAATCTAAATCCCAATATCAGCTGGTACCTCCACTGAATGCAAAGAAAGAACCCAAGGTCATGAGTGAGAAGGGGAGAAAAGAGGGACCCTGTATACAGACCCTGGCTTATGCCATTACTCTCATTACAGGGAGGATGAGGGAGAAGAGAAGGTACACCCACATTCCCAACCTTTGACACAGTGACTTGGCCTCTAGTAAACTGGTTGCATGAGATTAGTGTTCTCTCTTCTGGGGATTAAGTAGGGGATGGGGTGGGCAGGGGGACATGAAGTGGTATTGAGAGGAATGGAGCCATCCCCTCTTTCATGCAGGCAGGGTTCATGACCTGTAAAAGAATTCTCTGGAATGACATGGCTAGAGAGAGGAATTTGAGCTTCCTATTGAATGACGGGTAGAGAAGGATAAATGTCCAATCTTCAGATTCTGAAATAAAAGCAAAGCTTCAACATGTCTTTTCAGCTCCAGAAAAGCCCATGTCTAGTCCATGCTAGTTCAGAGGCTGGACCAGTGTAGCAGCCTTTGAACCACTGCTGCCTCTAGCCTCTCCCCTCCAATCCTTCCACTGCTCTGCTTTGCCACTGGAGTGATTATCCTGAAGTGTGACTCTAGCCAGGCCCCTACTGAGACAGTCTCAACTTCTCCTCTAAGCTCAAGGGCTGCCCTGTTCGTCTCTTCCCTCACTATAGAGCCCATGGGGTCCTTACCTGGTACAATTAACCTGTCAACACACAGGAGTTGAATTGCATCAAACATAGAGCATTGTATATCTATATAGTCACATTTACACTATACAGATGCAAAGACCTTGTGGCAGAAATAAGATTAGCACAATTCAGAAACACCTAGAAGCTTCTATTAATGATGTCTGGGACCTGGGCTCGGATGTTAGCTCATCGCTATATCTACTGGTGTGACCCAACCTAGGCCCATCATTCAACCCAGTTTCAGTTTCCTCATCTGAAATGAGGGTAGTGCCTCAAATGTTGTTACGGGATGAATGTGATAATGAGGGTAGAACAGGTGGCACCAGTAAAAGCTTAATTTGTTTATGCAAGCAATAAATATGTATTGAGTGCCTGTTTGTCCCAGGGTTTGTTCTAGGAGTCAGAATCAGTAGGAAAGAAAAGAAACACACACACACACACACACACGCACACACACACACACACCACAAACACATAAATATACACATCAAAAGAAGTACAAAAGCCCTGTAACAGGAAGATACTTGTCATGTTTTAAAAGCATCACGAAGGCTCTGTAGCTGGGGGTGGTGGCTCACATCTGTAATCCCAGAACTTTGGGAGGCCAAGGCAGGAGGATCACTCAAGTCCAGAATTTCGAGACCAGCATGGGCAACATAGTGAGAACTCCACTGCTACAAAAAAATTTTAAAAATCAGCTGGGCATGGTGGTATGTGCCTGTGGTCCCAGCTACTCAGGAGGTGGGAGAATTGCTTGATCTCAGGAGGTTCAGGCTGCAGTGAGTCATGATTGTACCACTGTACTCTAGCCTGGGTGACAGAAAAAAGAAAAAAGAAAGCTCTATGAATATTTATGCTGAAGTGTTTAGAGATAAAGTATACTCATGTTTGTAACTTAATTCAAAATTCATTTAAAAATAAGATGGTTAGTTGGAAGGGTGGGTAGATATCCGATAAATCTTGCGTAATAAAATGTGCATAGTAGAATTTAGTGGTGTTCCATGCATGTTCACTGTGAAATTCTTTCAATTTTACTTTGTGTTTGAAAAATGTCATACTAGGATGTTGGAGGAAAAACATCAGGAAGGTTAGTGAGGCAAGAGCAGATTGAGCTAGTGAGGGAGAAAGAGAGACAGAGAAGATGAGGTCTCAGAGGTCTCTGCGACTGAGATCCTGGAGGGCCTTATGAACAGTGGGAAGACTCGGGGGTTTTGTTCTAAGCTCCATGGGAAGCCTTCGAAGGATTTTGAACAGGGGAGTTTCATGATCTGATTTGTTATTGTAAAGGACCCTCTAGGCTTCTGTGGGGAGAAGCGGCTCTATCTAACAAATCTGAAAGTGAAAAGGGTGGCATGGGAGGTGGCAAGCCATGGTCAGATCCAGGAGACAGTCTGCAGAAGTCACTAATGGATGAGGTGTGCAGAGCATGTCAGGGCATTGGCCTGGGTGAGCAGGTAGAGAGCAGTTCTTTTTCCTGAAATGGGGAAGATAAGGGAATGAAATAAGTTTGGGTAGCAGAGTGTGGGAGAGTGATGAGGGGGAGAAACACGTATTCTGTTTCAGGCATGAGAAGCCCAAATAACAGACTTAGTAATCAACGGGAGTGTTATTACTGTTTCCACGACACATACTTATGTAACGTCATTTGCAAACACACGTGCTTTCTCTGAGCTGGAGATTCTGCCCTGTCCTTCCTATTTTCTTTCCCTCACATTTTCTACTCCCCCTGCTGCCCCACTCTTTCAACTTCAGACTACTATTCAGTGACTGCTAGAGGCTCTGGTGATGGTAAAGGCAGAAATGAGGAACCGGAGGCAGCCCCTCTAAAGCCCTCTGAGCATCAGAAAACCTCTGCTTAGGTCAGCGCCTTTCTCAGTGTGAGAAATCTGGGTCAGAGGAAGTCTCTGGGTGAAACCAGGAGCACACAGCTCTCTGGGCTCAGCTCCTGCCCTTGCAGACCCTCTGGCCTTCCTGACTCTTGAAGTGAGGCAGGCAGATGGGCTCCCAGGCAGTTCTAGCACATGGTTGAATGTGAGATTCAAAGATGCTGCAGAGAGAAGGATCAAGATCTCTTTGTTTTACTGAGAATGTGACTCTGAGTCAAGATCTGAACTAATTTGACCCATTTAGTGGTGCTGTCGTTTCCCCACTTCCTTCCCTCCTTCCTTCTCTCATCACCTAGGTTAGAATAGCATTTAAGGACATTTGTCAGGTAGCCAGCCGAGGAAACTGACTTGACTGTTGGAGGCCTACTCCCTGTAGAAGGCTGCCTCAGTCACTAAAAGCTAAATATATCCCAAAGCCACTGCATCTCATAGGGCCCCAAGCACAGTCTTCTCAGGCCAGTTGCTTCCAGAGGGGAGCCCTGGTGCATGTGTGTGGCAGAGAGTGATGGAGAGTGAACCATGCAGTTTCCTCCTCCTGCTCTTTGACTTTCCATGCTACCCGTGGCCCTTAGAAGTGCACCAGCCTTTGGTAACAACATGTGCACAACTCTTATAGACTACAATGTGCCAGACACTGTTGCAAGCAAGATACTGTTAATGTATATTAACTCATTTAATCCTTCTAATAACTCTGTAAGATAGGTTCTGTTATTACCATTTCCATTTAACAGATGAGGAAACTGAAGCTTAGAAAGAAAAACGAAGTATCCCAAGGTCACACAACTAGAAAGTGATAAAGCCAAATGTTCTGAGCTTAACTATGTGATGGACAGGTGGATGAATAAATTGATGAAGACAAGATTGTCTGCAATGAATGGAGCAGATAGAGAGCCCCAAAAAAGCTCAGTATGGGGAAGTTATCTGCAGGCTAGAGAGAGCAGGGGTTGCTTTTGTTACTCTTTTGTTCTATTAAAATAAAAAAAAGAATTATAAAGTTAAACATCGTTATGTTTACTTTAAAATATTAAAACATTAATACCTATATAAAATCAGTTTTCTGCCACATATGGACACTTCTTAGAGTAGAAACTATAACACAGGCGGAATAAATTATATAAGCACAATCCTCTACTCCCCACAAAGTCTTCCACAAATATCATTAGCTGTATGGTTTTAGGCAAACCAGTTAAATTCTGTGCAGTTTACATGTCTTCTCTGGAGCCATCCCATAGGCCAAATCCATTAATAATTATAATCACAGTCATGATAGCTGCTGTCAACTGAGTACCTGATGAATATCTGTACTAAACTAGGCGCTTTTGTATAAGAACTTTGTTTGTTTGTTTTGAGACAGGGTCTTGCTCTGTCACCAAGGCTGGAATACAGTGGCATGATCATGGTTTACTGTAGCCTCAACCTCCCGGGCTCAAGTGATCCTCCTGCCTCACTCCCTAGAGTAGCTGACACCACAGGCACATGCCACCATGCCCAGCTAATCAAAACAAAAATGTCTGGAGATGAGGTCTCACTATGTTGCCCAGGCTGGTCTCAAACTCCTGGACTCAAGTGTCCTCCAGCCTCAGCCTCCCAAAGTGTTGGGCTTATAGGCATGAACCACCGTGCCCAGCCTCTCTTCTTCTTCTTATAAAGACACCAGCCCTAGGATTATGCCCCCACCATTAGGACCTCATTTAATTTTAATCACTTCATTTACATTAATTAAAGGCTCTATCTTAAATACAGTCACATTGGGGTGAGGGCTTCAACATATAGATTTGGGGGAGACACAACTCAGTCCTTAACAATGAGCTTTGAAGAGTCTGGGTATCTTTAAAAATCCTGTATCCAATTTTGCACAGATGAGAGTCTGCATGCACAATGTGGACTCAAACGATGAAAAATGACTAAAAGTATTATAAATGACAAGAAAAGGGCTCATAGAAACATAGAAATATTAATAGAACTTGTGTTAAGGGGTAGAAGAAAAAGAAAATTCTATAATGTTGTCTTAATGAGCATTAAAAAGTGGAGAACAAGAAGGGCAGTGGAAAATGAGGGTGTCAGCCCTCTCCTTACATTTGGAAAGGTTTGATGGTTTGCCTGAGGTCGCAGAGCAGAGAATGGATCTGAGTCTAGGACCCCAGGATCCCAAGCCCCAGCCCACCAGGCGTTCTGTCCATGTTCTCATCAGCTGTGCTGTCTGTCGTTTCCCAAAGAAGCCAGGGCCATCTGATTGAGGTTCCTGAGCTGCCCCTCTGCTGACTCGGATGTTCTTTCCCTTGCTTTCCTTCCAGAAGTGGAGCAGATTGAGGCAATCGCCAAGTTTGACTACATGGGGCGGTCCCCACGTGAGCTGTCCTTCAAGAAAGGGGCCTCGCTGCTCCTGTACCACCGCGCCTCAGAGGACTGGTGGGAGGGCCGGCACAATGGCGTGGATGGACTCATCCCCCATCAGTACATAGTTGTACAGGACATGTGAGTGGAGTCGGGGCTTCTGTGAAAAATGCTGAAATAGACTAGTGATATCTGGAATGGGCACCATAGGGGAGTGCTAACTTGTATGCCAGCGATTTGCTCTCCTTGATACCATATGCTTGATCTTCTGTAAGAATGGGTAATATCTAACTTCCCTTTAAATGGTGATCCACTTAACAGATACACAAATTGCTCCTCCTTCTGAGTACACAGAGACAGTTTTGGGTGACCCTGGCCTGCATCCTGATGCAGCTGACAGCCCCAGGGTGACCATCACCCACCATGGCTTTCAGTATCCAGGGGTTCCTTCCATGCACCTTCACCTTCTAGGCTTCCCCTGCCTACTGTTCTATACTCCAGAGGCAGCTCTTTTAGGAGATGGGCAGAAACAACCATGCCCTTGTTTCTGATTAATAGGTTACTATTTTTTAAAAAATAATTTCAGGGGTTAACAAAAAAGAGCCCTGTGTCCCAAATGCCTAGTCTTACCACAGAAAGTCTGCACTTTCCATTCATTTGAAAGCCATGGAAGATTCCAGTGCACATATTCCCCGGGAGCTCTGGTCAGGCTCAGCAGAACAGACGTACCCTATTTGCAGCCACCAAGCTAAGCCTCAAGGTTAAGGGATCAAAAACCCACATTTTGATGGGAGAGAGGAGGTCTCAGCCAGAGAAAAGGCTAGGGCCAAGCAGACTGCCAGAGGAATGCCATAGTGGAGGGCCCTTGGCAGCCTCCTGATGTCCTCAGACCTCTGAGGCCAGGGTCAAGTCACGACAGCAGAGGAACATGGAAGGAGCATGGCAGGGCACCCCAGCAAGCTTATGAGCCACCTCACAATGGCCCAAGCCCTGAGTGGGGAGGTAAGGGGCAGAGGCAGCTTCTTCCTCCCTTGCTTAGCCCCAAGCCATTTCCCACAGAGTCACACAGAGACTCAGCACTCAGCCCTCGGTGCTAGGCCTGCGGACTCCATCCCCACATTTCTCCAACACACCCTGCAGTATTTAGCTTGTCTTAGCCTGGAGCTGCCTGGGAATGAACCTAGAAGAGAAAAAAGGAGGAGGTAGGTGTGGGACAGAAGAGGGTCCCTGCTGCAGAAACTGAATAGGAGTGTTGCAATGGACATGTGTGGTGGGAAGGCACCCAGTGGGCAGTGGCTCAGCAAGTGCTATGGGCACAATGTAACCATAAGGTGTGTTAATTCGGCCCCTCAGACACATATCAGGGAGCCTTGTATATGCTGGGTTCTCCAGGGGAAGGCACCTCCAATTCACGTCTGTCTTCTCCCCAGGGATGATGCCTTCTCCGACAGCCTGAGCCAGAAGGCTGACAGCGAGGCTAGCAGTGGGCCACTGCTGGATGACAAGGCCTCTTCCAAAAACGACCTCCAGTCCCCCACGGAGCACATCTCGGATTACGGCTTTGGGGGGGTGATGGGCCGGTAGGAAACAGGGATTCATTTTTTTTCCTCCTAGTGCTAAGCCTGCTCATGTCTGATTTGGGAGAAGCACAAGGGCAGGGAGAAGAGAAGGAGGCTACTGCAGCACCCTGTTCCCCACAAATGTGACGGGCACACTGGGCAGGCTGGCTGGCATTGGCCCAAGAAGGCCAGGCATAAAACCATCCAGCCTGCCTTGCAGGGAGGAAGAGGAGGAGGAAAGACATGTGTTGGGAACTCAGTGCTTTTCTATTGAAAATAATGTGTGAGAGAGAGATACAAATTGGCAAGTATTTTTCCTATCTCTCTCCAGTTCCTGCACCTCCTTCCAGCTTTCTGTTATAGACCTGAGTTGTTATATTTAAAAATGTAAAGCTCACATATTCCCTGAAATGCACTACATAAACAGAAAACTCACACCTACTCATGTGTTGAAGGAAATTGACAGTCGACTCCACCTACTTATTTGGTGGGAGCAGTATTGCCAATTTCTTCACTCCCTATGTGTGGGCCAGGCTGTGTCACGTGACCTTTCTACCAGACTAGGAGGTGTGCACATTATTCTGAGAACAGGTATAATCCAAAGTATTTGGTTATTTAAAAAAAATTAATGAGGAAATAAGAAATGCAAAGCAAAACTGACAGTTTTTCACTGCCTTTTTAGTCACACTCTCAAAATGTCATATTCCATGTTTTTTTCAGTGGAGGGGTCATGTGATCAACCCACACATGTGGGGATTTGCAGATAGACCCCCCAAAAAATATCATTCACAATGGGAACACACAGTTTATGAATTTATTTCAGCAAAAGTCCTGACTCTCTGCAAATTCTACTCAGTTCAGCAGGTAGCTCTGGGCACTATGGTAGAATTGGGAAGGGCAGGGAAGTGGAAGGCTGGGATAGGTAGACAAAAAAGTTATGGCCCTCTGACTTCTTGGAGGGCCTTGGCATATCTTCTGCCTCTCTTTTCCTCTCCCTCATCCTTCCCTTGCCTCCTTGTTCTTTCTTTCTACATACTGCTTCCTCTCCAGTACCTATGCTTTGGTCCTGTTGGGGCACCCACAAACACTGCTTAGCTTGGCTGGTGGCACTAGGATAATCACTGCTGGTCCCTGGTCATAATCCATTCCCAACACGTGGTCCCTCTCCATCCCTGCTCACCACTTCTAGCCTCCCCTCCCTTCAGACTCTTTGGTGACCTCTGTAGGATGCAGCAAAATCTCCTGTGTATAGAACCTCTTATCTTCGAGGTGCTTTTAAACCCACCTGAAGCAAAGGTAAAGGGTGGGCAAAGGATCCTACTTACACCCACTTAACAGATTAATAAAGTGGGATTGAGAGAGGACACAGGAAAGCATGCGGCAGACACAGAGCAAGAACTCACCCTCCTGAAACACACCCTACTCCCCTTTTCCCTGCAGCAGAGCCTCCCTGAGTTGAGAAAGGTATTCAAATGCACAAAAGGGCTGTCCAGCCATGCAGTGTTTACTTTTGAATGACTAGTTTTCCAAGATCCAAAAAAGCCTCATAAAACCAGCCCTCTTCTGGGGAGATTAGGGGTTGGGTGGCAATGTCAGAGTGTCCTTAGTTCCCAGAGGACCCCTCCTGTGCTTGAAGGGTGCTGGTTACTTTGGTACAGTCAAGCCTCAAAGCTTCAGACCAGTTAGGAGCCCCTCAGAATCATGGAAATGTCTGAACTGTTTGAGAGGGTATCATGAGCCCAATTAACCATCACCAAAGCATTTCCAGGGTTGGAATCCTGTAGGCCTTGACTTAGCATGTGGACCAGATACATCTTGCTATTGGCAGCACTGCTACCTGTGGCCTGGAAGCACTGTGCTCCAGATGCCTTTGTGTTTGCACATTAGACCTCCCACTGCTGGTGAGCTGTGTGCTGGGCCAGGCCTTTCATTGCAGAATTGTGGGGTCTGGCTGAATGAGGCTTTACTGTACCTGCTCCTTAGAATAGCATGTAGTATGTGGCATGGGGTTGGCTCACCCATTCTGAGACTTGCCAGGTTTGACCTCTACCCCATGCCCTTCGCCCCCTGGCTCCTTTGCAGAGTGCGGTTACGATCTGATGGAGCGGCCATCCCCAGACGCCGAAGTGGGGGCGACACACACAGCCCACCCCGGGGCCTGGGCCCCAGCATAGACACGCCACCCCGGGCTGCTGCCTGCCCCAGCAGCCCCCACAAAATCCCCCTCAACCGGGGGAGGATCGAGAGCCCTGAGAAGCGGAGGATGGCGACGTTCGGGAGCGCTGGCAGCATCAACTACCCTGACAAGAAGGCGCTCTCTGAAGGGCACTCGATGAGGTCGACCTGCGGTTCCACCAGGCACAGCAGCCTAGGGGACCACAAGTCCCTGGAAGCTGAGGCCCTGGCAGAAGTAAGGGCAAGCGGGAAGTCAGGCTGGGCAGCCAAGAGCCCCACAGGGCCGTGGGGTGGGAATCTGTGGAGCGGGGAGTCACCTTGGCCTTTATGCCAGGCTCACTGCTAAGCCAGAGAACAGGAGAATGAGTGGCTTCCCTATCCTGTACTAGGCTTCCCTTGAGAATGGAGACTGGTTGGGAGTAGCCACTGCTAGGGTTCCTATAGAGGCTGAACAGCCCCAGTGTCCAGGGCTGGAGAGGGCATTGGCCACATTCTGGGGTTGAGGTAATGGCAGGTCACTACACAGAATGATATGTTTCAGTTATTCATTCATTTACTCATTCATTCATTTCTCTGTTCATTCATCTATTCATTCATTGACAAATATTGATTGAACATCTATTGTTTGGCCGTCACCATGGTAGCCACCAACAGTACAGTGAAGACCTAAAATGGACTCAGGCCCTGCCCACATGGAGCTTACAGTTTAGAGAAGAAAGAGATACCAACCAATACACACACACAGCTGTGAAATAGTGGTTGCGTCCTTTAAGGAGTAGTCCACAGTATTTTGAGAGCCTAAAATATGAGGATTGCACGTAGGCAGAGAGAGACTTCTCTGGGAAGAACTTGACCAGAGACCCAAAGGGTAAGCAGAGCTAAACAGCTGAAGCTGCAAGAGAAGAATGTTCCAGGTTCTTCTCAAGTGCTTAGTTTTTTGTTTGTTTGTTTTGGTTTTGTTTTGTTTTGTTGTATTTGGATGAAAAATCCATATGATTTTTACATTTGCCAAATGAATAGAACTGTGATTGGTTTAACAATTTGCATGGCTGGTTTCATGTGTTTTTGACAGTTCTATCACATTTTGTAAAGTTTCCCTCTTTTTTTGTCTCTGGAATTTGGTGTGGGGGCCCATTATGTACCCTCTGCCTAGTGTTCTCTCCCACATAAGGTAGCAGAGACAATCAGAACCTTCTGGTCTGTGAGAATTCTGTGGAGAGTGACCTTTTGCATCCCTGTTCAAAAGCAGAAGGAGGAAAGGTGGGGAGCTGTGAGCTGTGTTCTAGAGGAGGCCAGGCAGAGTGTCCAGGAATACTCAACACAGAAACAGCTCACATAGCAATGAGTACTCCTGTTCACACCAGCAGGCTCTAGCTTGGCCCCATGCTCACTCCCAAGTGGTCCCGGAAGATCACTGCCTTTCAAGGAGGCATGCCAGCTGCTAGTTCACCCATACTTGTGGGAACATCACCCTAGCACCCACCATCATCTGGAAACTCTACCAGTCTAGAAAGTTCTACCAATTATGATAGGGGATGAGCTGCCCGAGGCCTGTCCCAGGGCTCTTTACATAAAGAATGAAATGCAGTCTAGAGCACTGTTTCTGAAAGTAGGTCTCACAGCAGAGTAGTTCCACAGGATGCCAGGGGGTGCATAGGGAATACATGTTCTGTGGTCAGCAAGGTTTGTGGAATGCTGCTCTGACAGAGTTGAGTGGCTTATCTGTAAGACCCTTATAAAACCTTTAAAGGAGGCATCCCCAACCCCCAGGCCATGGATGGGTCTGTGGCCTGTTAGGAACCAGGCTGCGCAACAGGAGGTGAGTGGGGTTCACCAGCATTATTGTCTGAGCTCTGAGTCCTGTCAGATCAGCGGTGGCATTAGATTCTCATAGGCCGGGAACCCTATTGTGAACTGTGCATGCGAGGGATTTAGGTTGTACACTCCTTAAGAGAATCTAATGCCTGATCTGAAGTGGAACAGTTTCATCCCGAAACCATCCTCCTAACCCCTGTCTGGAAAAATTGTCTTCCACGAAAATGGTCCCTAGTGCCAAAAAGTCTGGGGACTGCTGCTTTAAAAGATGTGCATTGTGAATCTCCACAAAAGAAAACAGGGCATGCCCCATATCCCAGACTTCTTTGACCTTTATTCATGGAGGATTTTGCAAGACCAGCTCCCAGAAAGCACGTGGGGACTGCTGCATGTGTTCTCAGTTTGCCAAGGGATCTGCACCCTCTCTACTTTGACAGCAGCCATCCAAGAGCCCCTTTCACCAACAGAGGTCAAATGAGGAATTGTGGTAAATGATATGTAAATAGCTCACTGCCAATGGAGAGCTTCCAGCCTCAGCACTGGCTCTAATGAGCCCTTGACTTTGCTCGTTGCAAAGGGGTGTGGCAGCTGAAGCATCTCAAGTAGTAGGTGGAGTGACCTAAAATTCTCTGGTCTCAAAATGTCCTGTAGGATTTAGATTTGAACCCACTTAAAGAGGCTGCTTGAGGAACTTGCAACACGGCCATCAAAAGTGGGAAGATCAAATTGGGGAGGAGATGAAAAGCAATCGCAGTCCCTACTCTGTCCTGCAGGGACTCTCTGCAGCTCCGCTCTGGAGACTCACAGCATTACCTCTCGGACTAATGCAAGGCTGAAGCCTAAACAACTCAGCTGATCTTTCTCTGAGCTTTCTGTCTTTCTGTTCACTCTGCTGGGGTAGAGTAGTGGTGGTGGAGGGTCGGGGGAGGAGGATAGTGGTGGAATGGCAATAATTACATTTTATTTATTAAAGTTTTACCTTGCAGCTCATGCTGGACTAGAGCAAATAGAGAGTAGTGAGGTCAGTAAGGGGCTTCCTTCAAGCAGAGTGGATGATGACAGGGCAGCTCGGCTGCAGGAAAGCAGGCTGTGTCACTGCAGGGCTGGCAGAAAGCAGAGATGGGGAGAGGTCTGCCTTCCCTCCCTTCCTGCAGAAAATTGCTCCGACAGCGCCTCCTTTTGGATAAGGCACAAAAGACCTTTCTTAGAGTTGCTGGTGTTCTGGGGCAAGGGATGAAACATTCCGGAGAAGCATACAAGCTAATATTAGCCATTAGCCAGACGTCCATAGTCCCCTAACAAAAAGGATAGGCTGTGACAATGAGGGAGGCAAGAGCTTGGGGCCCTGACCCAAGCCAGATCGAAGTCTACCTTGGGGCCTAGGGCAGGCAAGAAGCTGCCTGCAGACAGGAGAAGGAGAGAATGTAAAAGACCACGGTGGAGAAAGGGGCCGGCCCCAGGATTTCTAGGCTCCCACTCCATCCATTTCAACAGACTCATATGTATTTTTTTAGGATTTGCAATAAAGCAAGCCTGTCTTAACAGTCATCATTGCTACATGAGGTCATGCATAGCACCTACTAGTGGTGGTTTAGGCAATATCTGTCACGATGCCCTCAATGGCCAAGCCAGCTGGGCTCTGACCTGGCTGAGCCAGAGCAGGTCCTCTCATGTCTGTCGGATGTGGAGGCATCCCTGTCAACAGTCATGGGAACCCACAGGGTTCTTGGGCTAGAAGCATTTTGAAAACCACCGTCTGGCAGTTTGCAAAGCTTCATCACATCCATTATCTCAGCCCATCTTCTCAGTAAACTTCTGGGAGTGTAATAGGTGAACAAAATATGGTATGGAATGATCAAGACTTGCTCAGGGTCACACAGCCAGCAACTGGCCACAGTCTTTTTACTCAAAATTCTGGGGCCCTGTGCCCTGTCCATGGGCTCCTGGCTAAATGCTGCCTTCTAGCTACTGCACCATCTTGAACATGAGGGGATGGGAGCTGAGGGAAGCTGGCATGGTGAGCTCGGGCTGCCATGGGTGGATGGGGGGGGGTCTCTCTCTCTCTCTCTGAGTCCTTCGGAGTGCTCTCCTCCTGATGAACTCTCAGATATCATAACATCCTCAGGAATTATGTAGGCAGAAGGAGATTTTTCTTGCCTGTTAAAATTGCCACTTTTTTAAAAAACAAAATTTTCTGATTATAATACAGAGAAGAGAGTAGCAGTCCCTCTATTCTGGGATGAGCACTGTGAACATTCTGGTACATAATCTCCAAGTAATTTTTTGTGAGCAAGGATTAAAAAAAATACTGAACTGCCTGGGTTCAGACTTGGGCTATGCTGTTACTTAGCTGTGTGACCTGGGGCAAATTATTAACCAGTCTGAGCTTCAGTTTCCTCACGTGTGATATGAGCATAAAGGTGGATCCTACCTTAGAAATGTGAGAATTAAATGAATTATTAGGGGACAGGGTTTGGATTGGTGCTCAGTGTTAGCTCTTATTGCTACTATTGTCATTTTTAGTTTTGAGTGCTTACTCTGTGTCAGGGGTCAGGCCAGGCTTTTCACAGGGACTGTATCGTTTAATGCACTTACCAACTCCCTGAGGTCCATATTATAATTATCTGCTGTTTGCAAATGAGGATTCTGGAGGCTCAGAGGGGTGAGGGAACTTGCATAAGGTCACGTAGCAAGGAAGTGACAAGGCTAGGATTTGAATCTGTGTCTGTCTGACTCCAGGGCCTGCCCTCTTTATCAGTAGTCTGACCTGCCCTTATTAAATCTATTTCCTGTGCAAGGCAGTATGCAGGGGATAGCCACATTGGTTCTCATGTGTTATAAGACACCCTGAGGACTTAATCTCCATCCCTGCTGCGAGGCTTCTGGGGAACCTCCCTAAGAAGGGAAGCTGCTTAACAGACAGGAAGGACCTGGCTCCAGGCCTCCAGACGCTGCTGACCCCAGCTCCCTCTGTCCCCAGGACATCGAGAAGACCATGAGCACAGCTCTGCACGAGTTGCGGGAACTCGAGAGGCAGAACACGGTCAAGCAGGCGCCAGATGTGGTGCTGGACACCCTGGAGCCCCTGAAGAATCCCCCAGGCCCCATCAGCTCGGAGCCCGCCAGTCCCCTTCACACCATCGTCATCCGCGACCCTGATGCCGCCATGCGCCGCAGCAGCAGCTCCTCCACCGAGATGATGACCACCTTCAAGCCAGCCCTGTCCGCCCGCCTGGCGGGCGCCCAGCTGCGCCCACCCCCCATGCGGCCCGTGCGGCCGGTGGTCCAGCACCGGTCCAGCAGCAGCAGCAGCTCAGGCGTGGGCAGCCCAGCCGTGACGCCCACCGAGAAGATGTTCCCCAACAGCTCAGCGGACAAGTCAGGCACCATGTGACCTGCAGGATGGGCCACCCTGTCATGGCCCACTGTGGCTCGCCACGGCCCAGGGTGGCCTCGGTGGCTTCCACGTGCTTCCCAGTGACCCTGGCCTTGGAGGGCAGAGGTCAGCCTGGGAGGATGTGTCTGTGCAGAGCTGAGGTAGGCGCTGGCTGCAGTTCACGTCCAGCCGTGGGAATCCCACAGACCTCTCGCGTGTCCGCAGACGTCCAGAGGAGTGCCGGAACTCCGGCAGCCCCAACCACAGCATCTCCTAACATCGAGGTGACATGCGACGTGGCTTCTCCCGCATATCGTCACTGGAAACTTCCTCTCTCGACATTCTGTCTACATACCTATATGTGTGTGTATATCGATGTGTGCATATATACACATGTATATGTATGTATGTGTCTGTAGGTGTGTGTATATATATATATATTTATGCATCTATATACATATACTAGATCTGGACACACACATACTAAGTGTATATAGTATCTCCTTTTTCTTTTTATGAAACTTAGATTTACCTCAGACCCATGCCACCAAACATCTCCCACTGAGTTATTTGGTGGGATTTGCAGGGACTTTTCTGGGAGAACTTAGAGGCCCATAGTAACTGCGAATGAAGCAATATATCACTAACCTGCAGAAAAACACAAACAAAAACAGTCTCCCACTGTCTCCAGAAGTCGTGGCCTTCCAGAACAGTCTGCCCCTCAAGGAAGGGTGGGGCAGGCAGTACCCCTAAGCAGGCTGCTCCCAGAGGTGGGGAACCCTTCATAGAAAATCCCCACCCCTGTCCACCCCAGAGACCCTGCCCTTCCACCCGGAGGCCAAAGGCCAACTGTATCCCCGAAGGCACGGGAGAAAGTTGGCGAGAAGACCCCTGACCACCACATCCTTGTGTTTGTGTGTAGAGGCAGGGGATAGTGAGAACCTCAGCCCCATTGTAGCACAGTATTACATGTGGTTGGGAAAAAGGGAAAAATAAAAATACAGTGGTGTGAAATACTTCAAAACCTAGAAACGCTGTAGGAATAAATCTGTGGTAACTATAGAGGTTTAACTTATATCATTTTCAAAATATTTAATTTTTTCTTTTCCTGGTTCTACTAATTATACTGTGTCAGATTTGGAACTAAACAGGCAAGGAGGCTTTGAGTCACATCGTTTTCATTTTAAATCAGGCTGTGACGCACTATGGCTGGTGCCGTCTTGCATGAAACGCATGAGCCGTGAGCGCCCAGTTCAGACTGGGGCCAGGGAGGGACAGTCCTTGGCACTTTCTGTCCTAAAGGACACTGTCAGTTGAGTTAAAACAAGTGGCATAGCTTCCCTTCCCTTCCCCTTCACCCACTCCCTCCAGAACATTTAGCGTAGATGAAAATGTGGTGATAGGAATGGGTGCATGATCTTCGTGTGTGACAGCAAGGCCTTTGCCTCTTGGCTGAGCGAAGCCCTTCTGGGTCGCTCTCCTTTGATTTCTTTGTACCTCCTCTTCTGATCAGTTCCAGTGATGAGCTGTTTCTGGATAATGAAATGGCACAGGGTGAATCTGTGTGTCCTGTGGGCCACTGTTACCCCCTCCTGCCAGACCCAGAGGCTCTTCCCTATTCTTCCCAAGCTTCCTCTCTCTCTCGGCCACTGAAGTTTGGAATCAAAAGGCCCAGAGTCTGAGTCCCAGCCCTGAGCACTTAGGAGCCTTGTGACTTAGGGTTTGGCATTCCACCTCATTGAGCCTGGCTTTTCTGCTCATAAAATAGGATAATAAAGGTAAAATGGCAGTGAGCAAGCTGTGTACACTGGAAAGCACTAAATCAATACAATGCTCTTGTGATTATCATTAGTAAGGTAAGTGTTAAGATGAGAACCCTCCAGCCCTTCTTTTTGAAACCTCTTAATGGCATTTCAGAAGTGAGCAGTGGAATTTTCCTACCATCTTAATAAGAGCCCTGGATTCCATCATTAGCCATTCTACCTTGTCTGAAGGACTGGACTTGTCACCCCACAGTGAAAAGGAGCATCAGGAAAGGAACAAAGAAAGGATCTCAGGGAGAGGCCAGTGTCAAACTTGACTTCCCTTGTTTGGCCTAGAATGAACCCTTCTCTTTAACTCCTGGATACGAAAGGCCCTCTGCCTTGGAGCACAGAAAGATATTGCCATTTTACCGCTTCAGAGAGTAAGGCCTTGGGCTGTGCTTTGACCTGCCCAAGATTTGACAACTGGCTAAGAGCAGAGGCTGTGTCAGGCTCTTAAAGTCATGTGTTTGCATGCTCGACGCTATGCTAGCCAGTCAGGACACAAGACTTCTGATTTCTACCAGATCCTAAATCCAGTAGCCTCCCAGGCAAAATATAGCAATCTCTGCCACAGCTATCAGATGAAAGGCAACAATCGGAGTAGACAAATCTGTTGCCTGATATACATAACACCAATCAGACCATGTGGATTTTTCTCTGAATTGACTGCTTTTGTTTTTTTCTTACTGAAAATGGATCTGCCTTTCACTGAATTTTCTGAAGGCAGAGGCTTAGCTGTTTTCTTCAAGCACCTATTTTTTTTCCATTGGGAAATGGCTGATGAGTTCACATTTAGGGATGCGCACACACAGATGGCAGACGTCTCCCCACTCATCCAGGCCCAAATCTGAGCCCTGATGCAGCCCAAGTGGGAAAATACTTCCCCGCCCCCTCCCCTGTTCCCATTTCCTCATCTGGCACTATGCATGTCTCAGTCACCCTCCACAGCACTCAGTCCCATCAACGTTCACTGAACATTGGCTTTCTCTTTCTGACTCCTGCCTGTTTTAGTCCACTATATATTGCTGTATTTGCTTAAATGCTGGAAAGTAACTGTTAAAATGTGAAATTGTAATTTTTAAAAAGGCTACAATTAAATTTTAGCCAATGCCACTCACCAAATCTTTGCACCTAGTAGATAGATCAATGTAAAAACAAATACCAGAAACCTAACTGTACAGTGCGTGTGGGGGAAATGTAGTAACCTAGTTAGTAGTCTTCAATATAACCAGTTGTACAAGGGGAAGTGGTGTGTACCTACTTGTTCATCACCATTATTGAAAACCGTACTGATCAGTTAGTTGATAACGGGCATTTTTAATTTTTATTTTTTTGCTTCATGGAATGATTTCTTAACCTTCGACTTATCCTGAGGTCAAGCCTTTTGTCTTTACGTATATCTGATGTTCAGTCTATTTTAGGTATGAACCAGCAAGTTCATTTAAAACTGACCAAAGACAATTAATTCCTGGTCTAGTTTCCTGGGCCTCATGGCCCAGCTGCCGCTAAAGAGCTTTCTGGATAAAATTGAGAACAAGCTGTGCTTCCTACCCCACTCGCCCTGTCCCCTTTTATTCCCTTTTCCTCTTAAAGAGCTGCTCTGAGCTGTGGGATTCTACGAAAAATTCTTGCCTTTCCTTGTTTCAGTGCTAACGATTTCTCACCTTGAAGCGCCTTTTGAACCCCGGACAGAATGCACAACTGGAGGGAATTGTGGGCTTGGGAATTAGACTTGGGAGTCTTTTCTCTGAAGTCACCAGGCAAGGGGTCAGGAGAGAAATGGATTCCCAAGGGATGAAAGGTTTCTATTCAATGAAGAAATCTGAGTGGGAAGAGACACAGGGAAACTGAGCCATATTTTGGCTATCGGCTGGAACCAGCAGTTCAGAGATCTGCCTTATAAACACTTAAAACTGGTTTGTGGTACACAAAGGGGAGCCAGGTGGGAAGGGGCCTTTACGTGGGGCTTTCTTCTCTGCTGGAGTCCCTTGGAGTGCCTTGTTGGGTATATTTCTTTGTTGTTCAGGAGGCACGCATGCGGAGGACTTCTCATGACCTGGTCGTGATGTGGCACTCAGTGCATGTACACAGCTAATGGAAAAACACAAGGACTCGCGTAACGGTTCTTCCTCTCAGTCTTTCTATTTCTAACTGTTCACGCATCCAGATGGTTCCACAGTAGAGCAAATGCCTCATTCTCCTGAGAAACCTGGAAAGAAGAGTGGCTGGCTCACAACCATGGGGGTGGCCCCTGATGGGCTGGGAGTGGGGGTGGTGGCAGGGAGGAAAGGCAGAAAGGGGTGAGTTGAGGTGTTGCTGAGCTGATTTTCTGCTGTGCAGAGCTAATGCTGACGTTTCATGTCAACTTCCCCGGTTCTCTGGGGTCTCCTCTCCTCTGAGCAGCCACATAGAACATTCCCCACATATCCAGAGCTGCCCAGAGGAGCTGAGAGAAAGGACTTTACTGTCAGGTCCAAGCCCTCCTGGCATTCCTGAGATTGATCTGCCAGTGTCCCACTGTCCCTCTGGGTCTGGCCATGTGGCCATTGCTGCCCCCTTGTTGACACCTCCTTTCTGTGTGAACTGTCCCCAGCAAATAACAAAGCTGTTCCTTGAACTAGAACAACCAGAGTGCACTTTTCCTTCCTTAGACGGAAGTAGATCTTGGCTAGGGTTTCTGCCCAGGCCCTTGTTCCCGGCAGTGTGACTGTTTACATGGTTTGGCAATAGGTTTGATTCTGATTGCTTCAGAGTGGCTGGTCTATTTCGTTTCCTTTGGTTTCCTTCCTCCCCAAATTGTGACAGGAAAAACAAACCAAAACCACCCTAGGAAATTGCTGGTTGCCTGTCCCCACGTGATGATAAATGTTTCCCTCTTCTGGATATCGTTTCTCTACCTTACGACCAAACGCCCGTCCTATAGAGTGTCTGATTGGATCCTCTGTCGCGTATTCTGATGGTGCCTGCTGGTTTGACGTGGAGCTATCCTGTGAAATAAAACAGCTTAACTTTTCTCAAACATGCTCCAGTGGTTTTTGAAAGGGTGAGGTGCCATGTCAGAGGTGGAGAGGTCCTGGGAAGAGTCCCCATCTTCCAGTCCACACTGTCTGCCTGCTTCCCTGAGGAACCACCTTTGAAATGTCCATTAGCTCAGATCCAACAAGGTGAAGGTCAAGGTTGCAAAAAGGACTGCTTCCACTGTAGAACTAACTGAAGAAGGTAACTGTAGGATGACTGCTGGGGAAATGCGGTTTGGAAATGTCAAAGCAAAGGCAAGTTGGGAGTAGTAGCTGTCATCTGCAGAAAGTGTCTTCAGAAGTTTAGGATAAAGTATCAGAGGTCACTGGGTACTAACACACCAAGGCACATGCAACATTTTGATGTTCATTGTCTACAAACTTCATACAGCCTCTTGGACTTTTGTTTTTAGTGGTGTGTGTTTGTGAACTGTTTATTGACCACTTATTTCTGTCCCAGCCACTAGATTAAACCCTTTACCTATATTTTCTCATTGAATTCTCAATCCACCATTGAAGGTAAGTATCATTATTATACTCTGTCCTGCAGATGAGGAAACTGAGGCTCCAAGAGGCTAAACAGTTTGCCCAAGGTTAAGCTAGGAAGTGGAGAAGACAGAATTTGAATTCAGTCTGCCTAACTCCAAAGCCATGCTCTTTATAAGTTTGTCATACTGTCTCTCATTTGAGCATTGTACTCATTACAGCAGGATTAGGGGCAGGATTTCATGATGAAGGTTGCTTGCTGCTTGCTGCAGTCAAGGAATACTCTAGGACCTGTCCTTTCCAATGAAACCTCTGCTGGATCTTCATGCAAGGGTCTCATTCCCACCGAAAACACTCATCACTCAGTGTTGGTCTCTTGCTAATTCCACACTCCTCTGCTATGAAACTGTCTTAGTCTATTTTCTGTTGCTGTAACAGAATAGCACAGACAGGGTAATTTATAAAGAAAAACAGTTTATTTGACTCATGGTTCTGGAGGCTGGAAAGTCCAAGAGTATGACAGTAGCATCTGGCTAGCGTCATCTCATGGTGGAAGGCAGAAGGGCAAAAGAGACCATATGAGGAGGCAGACTCTTTTGTAACCTTCTCTCACGATAAAAATCCTACTCCTGTGCAATGACGTTAATCGATTCATGAGGGTGAAACCTCATGAACCAGTTACCTCTTATTAGGTGCCCTCTCCCAACACTGTTGCATTGGGTATTAACTTTCCAACACATATATTTGGGAGACACATCCAAACCACTAACCTTCTAAGAGGCTAAAGTTTGAATGTGTTCCATAATCTGTTTACTTGCTCATAGCAACAGTATACATTTGAAAGCTTCAAATCAGGAGCCTTTCATTCATTCAACAAACATGTATGAAGCACCTTTTTACGTAACTTGCCCCAAGTTAGCTGCTGGGGGCACAAATGGATAAGCCCCAGTTCCTACCCTCAAGTTGTATACAGTCTAATTGCACAAAATGATCACTCTAGAATTCTAAGACTGACTTTGACTCAGTGCTTAATAGAACAGTGTCTCTTAACCCACAGGGGCACGAAAGGAAGATTTTAGCTGCTTAACTATTTTGTCATCCACGAAGCACAGTCCATTACTGGATTGTCCATTTTCTGGTCACATCTGTTTAGGAGCTTTTTGTTTGCAAATGAAAAACTATTCAATCCCAACAGCCCTAAGCAAAAGAGAATGTATTGGCTCACATGCGGAAACTGCAGACTAGGAATGGCTTCAAACCCGGGATGATGTGAGGAAGTGAGTATTGTCTCTGGAGTGCAGTTCTCTTCTTTCACGTTGGCTCTGCTCTGCTCTCTGGGTTAACTTTATGCTTGCACAACTTGTCTGATATTTTGTGGTTGCCCAGTGGCTGCTGAAGCTTCACTACCTGCACCTCCTCAGCTTCAGTAGTCTTGGGTCTGATTTTCACTGACCAGAATTAAGCCACAGGTTTATCCCAAAGGCAGACCAAGGGGATGGAATAGACAAATGGCCTAAGAAACCATTTTCAAGGGTGGTGTCAACCCCACCAAGACTTTGCATCAGGGAAGAATACAAGTTGCCCAAAGGAGATTGTGGGGCTGCCCGTGAAAAATAATAAATGGTGATGGTTTTCAGTCTGTCAGTTTTAGGGTCGTTAGCTATGCAGCAATAGCTAACTGATACACTCAAAAAATGCTCATGCAAATATGCTAAAATTTTGTCCTTGTCCTTTGACTCTTGGTTAACTTCACAATAATAAAGTTAATATCCATCAAGTGCATACTGTATGTTGACACATTGCCAGGCACTTCACATGCCTTGCCTCATTGAATCCTTACAAACAACTTGTGGAGGCAGATACTGCTAGCATCCCTGGTTAATGAATGAGAAGACTGACCCTAAGGGAGCTTAAGTGCAGGGACTTTAAGCTCTTTCAGGCCAGCCAGGATTCTTTGGCCCCCAAATGCCTGGCTGCAGGGAGGTCTGAGTCACCAGCCTGAGGGCTTACCTAGTGCCTTGGCTGAAGGCTGCAGAAGCACACATGGGGGAGGGTAACCACCTCCACCACACACCCTCTGCTTTCTAAAGGAAGATCCCTTGATGGCCACATTTGGTATTGTGCTACCCCATCCCCTGGCTCCATGGGATTGCGCCAAGGATGGAAGCTGATGCAATAGCAGTTGATAGTAGATTGGTTAGTAACCATGGCCCTTGGCAAAGCTGGGCCTGCAGATGACCTTTCTTGGGAAGCTTGACCCGAAGTAACAAAATGACAGGCCCTGTTAGTGGGACGAGTAGAAGATGAGAGGCCACAATGACAAGGAGGTCGGAGGCAGAGAAGTGGCCCTTCTGTACCATATGGAGGCTAAATCACTACGGACGAGACTCTGTGAGCACAATGACAAAGCCAATGGGCAAAGCCAATAGTGGGGCTCAAAGGCTTCAAGAGTGAAGCTATCCAGTTCCCAGAGGGAGCCAGAACCACCAGTTGGGCACCTGCCCCAGTGCCTGTTCCTCACTGGGAGACCTTACATTCAACCCCTCCTTACTTGGTGTAACTTGAGTGGGATTTCTGTTTATTTTAATTAAAAGGAAAAAGGGGCTCACGCCTGTAATTCCAGCACTTTGGGAGGCTGAGGCAGGGGTATCATTTGAGGTCCGGAGTTTGAGACCACTCTAGTCAGCGTGGAGAAACCCTGTCTTTACAAAAAACAGAAAACTTAGCCAGGTGTGGTGGTGCATGCCTGTAGTCCCAGCTACTTAGGAGGCTGAGGCAGGAGAATTGCTTGAACCCAGTGGGTAGAGGTTGCAGTGAGCTGAAATTGCACGACTGTACTCCAGCCTGGGTGACAGAGCAAAACTCTGTCTTTAAAAAAAAAGGGAAAAAGTGGACAGAATGATAATAGCCAACCTGTTTGAGCACTCACTGTGTTCTAAGCCCCTTCACATATAAAGGCCAACTCATTAGTGCTCTCAACCACCCTTTGAAGCAGGTATAGTTACTCCGGCTTAACCTATGAGGAAATAGTGCAGAGGCCAAGTAACTTGCCACGAGACACACCACTCAGGCATCACGGAGCTGAAGTTGAGAACTAGGCAGTGTCACTCTGGAGCTGGATCTTCAGTCTCTCTCTTAGGCCTGAGGATGAGGCAGCACACTGGGTGTGGTCTGAAACAGAGAGCTCCACCGAACTGGGAGTGTTTGACCCAAGATACCACACCCAGAGGGGCCTTATGCCCCCTTGGCATGGGGGATGCTGTGGTGGGGTGGGTGGTCACTGGCTGCTCACACAGCCCCCAGTGAAGGAGCAAGGATGGATACAAGGTGCCACCAGGCCATCCTGTCCCAGGCTGCAGCCAAGGCTCAGGCCCTGCCTCTAACACAAGTGAGCATTTTATGTTGGGAAATTCCCTAGAGAAGGAGGAGTGTGGGGGTTGGGGAAAGGCCTCCAAGGAAGGACAGTTGCCTCCACCCCTAAGCAGGGAGGTCTGGAAAGGACCCGGCTGCTCCCTCAGTGTGAGCAGCGAGGCATGGCCTTGGAGTAGCCTTGAGAGGAGCTTTAGCAGTGGAGGGTTGTGGAGAAAGATGGGGGTGAGGTGGGAATAAGAGACCCCCCAGAACCTCTAACCCCCCGACACCTCACATCTTCCTCAACGCACCTCCACCACTGCCTCTAGAAGCAGCAGAAGTGACAGTTTTCCTTTGGGCAACAAGTGGAAGTTTGTGTTTAAATAGATGCAAAGGAGAGGCAGAGAGAGGACAAGAATTTATCAGGCCTTTTCAGCCACCCCAGAAAGCAGGTCAGCCTCACACTGGAGGCCCAGAGCCAGCTCCATACCAGACCCCAGGCTGGGATTTGTGGGTTGGCTAAAAAGGCCTGGGACCTTCCTCTGACACTCAAGAGAACCTGGTATCAGATCTCCCAACAACTCTTCATTGCCTCAGAGACACCTCCCCTGACTTCCTTGCTTAGAGCAGTTACCATCAGGTTAATATGTTTTATTCTTTTCATTGCCCTTATCATTACTGGAATTTATTTGTTCCCTTATGTGTTGTCTGTCTCCCCCAGCCCAGAATGTAAATCTGGGGTTTTGTCTATCTTGTCCATACAATCTCCAGATGGTAGTAGGGTGTCTAGCTACTCCTAGCACATAGTAGGTACTCAATAATTATTTATGGATGAAATGAACATTCAACCACAACTGGGGGCAAATGCCATTTCTCACTGAGGTGGGCTTGGTAGCTAAAAAAGTCACATCTCTGGGGGTCATTCCCTCATTTAACAAACAGTCTTCAAACCTATTATGTGCCAAGTGTTGTTCTGGGTACTGGGGATGCAGCCATGAGCCAAGCAGACAAAGATCCCAATAGAGTTTATGGCCAAATGCTGGATACAGACAATGACAACCACAAAGCCAGAAGCACCCAGGGTGGAGGGAGGAAGAGCACTGAAATCTGCTTCAGACTGAGAGGTTGGGAAGGCCTCTCTGAGGAGGGGAGCTCAAACTGGGAA